TTTCACCGCCAGGCGGGCGCAAATATGAGTCAAATAAGCGGACTTCATGCAACAGGTGAGGTTTCAACTTGTCTGATCGAAAGCTTGACGTTGTCTTGCACGCCAAAATAATGCAAACGCAAGCTTACGTCACAACGTAGTTGAAGAAATTCATTTCCAGATCCCGTCTTTGAGCGAGTAAACTTTTCACTTTGTTTTGTACATCAGGCGAAAAAAACAAGGAATACAAACACAGGGCAATGTTTTCCTATTACGTTGGAGACCACATGCAAAAATTTGGGCGCTTTTGAACGAAAAAATCATTTTTCACCCGAAAAAGTCACTTACGTCAGTCTTGCACTAAGCCATTCAATTGTTAAAACCAAATGATGCCAAAATATGTTGAATTTTACTTGGAGCAGCTTCAGAATACCCTAAAGGTAAGTGAAAAGCATTTCCCCACCCATTATTGCTCTCTAAGATTTGAATAAAGCACCGTTCAAAGAGCTTCGTTCGCACGATCATTTTCTATCAGCGAATAGAACACAGCCAGAGTACCAATGAGATTCGGGGATTTTCAAAAGAACAAGGCCGACTTTTTACTAATAATAATTAGAATGTTTGCGCAATAAAGGTAATTAAAGAAAAATGAAAGTTTTTGTGTTCACAATTGCTTACCTGACAGAGTATTTCCTTCTGTGTCTCGAAGTGATTCACGAAAGATGCTACATTTTCCAGGGTTGTTTTGGATATCGTTGTGTCAGGTTGTGAAGAGGGTACACCGGCCAATAGTTCTTCCATGGCGTGATTAAAGACATGTAGGGCACACGCTATTCTCGGGATAAGTTCTGGCGTCTTTGATTTCGGCAGCACTTTCCCATCTCTGATGGCTTCATTGACCTCAGCCACGAACTGGTCCATTTTCTCTCTGAGTAGCTCCTGCCCTTCATTGTCAAAGATGAATTCAACGTTCTCGTCGATTCCATTTATGTTCTCGAACAGTTCAGAGAAGTCACTGACTACCTCGGTGGATAACTGACCGGTGGAGGTCTCCATTTTGGTAAGGGTCGGACGAAAGGCAAGGGGGGTTGCAAGAAGGATTCTGTCCACCAGGCCGTGTCCTTGATCCATGCGTGCGATCAATTTGGCAGCGTTGACCAGTTGAGTGGAACCAAGGAGACAGAACGGCGTATTTGGAGGGATCACTCTGCTTTCCTCTGTGGAGTAGTGATAGGAGCAGCGCTCCGCCGAGAAGAGTTTGCAGAGAAGCTGGACATCTCCGGTAGCGTTGTCTTCATCAGACTTAAGAAGCTTGTTGATGATGTCGAAGACCTCCTGAGAGAGAATCATTCCTTTCTTCTTGTTCGCAAGAAGTTTGACCAGTCCAGACAAGGTGGTTTTGCTAATGATGGCGTCGGTGAAGTCTAGATTTTCTAGTGGATCCTGGGCTGCATACTGGATAGCAGAAGATTTTCCTGTATGAGAGAAAAGTAACATATTATAATTTGAAAGGTAGCCTAATCAATAGAAGCTCTTTTAGTTTTTGATTGAACCGACAGCAAGTGTAAGTCCAAGAAACATATTGGCGTGCCGAGGGCAAGGTAGTACGAGAAGTAAATCTGGATATAAAAAAGATTCCAATTGAACTTACCCGTTCTGGGATATCCCACAAATATGGTAAATATGTTTAGTGGTTGCTTGTGTGTAGTGATGTTAACTTGAGCGTTGTTGGAGGCCAGTATGAATCCTGTAGTTGTTAGCAACGAAGGAATAAAATATCCTTCACGAGTTCCAACGGAGACGGCCTTATTCTTTACGAATTGATAAACGTCTGGGTTGGGAAATAGCTTCTGGTACGGGAACTGCACCAAATTCAGCCGTTTCTGAAGGTTGATCCATGTCTGTTCGTGCTGTTTGTTGAGTTTGGATAAAAAGTACATTTTGATGTTGACGGCCAGAACGATTATTATCGAATGAAATTAGCCTGGACTAAGCAGGGAATAGCCCTTAGGGAGAAGTCTTGGTGCTAGTTACAATTCTACCAATGAGAGGAAGACGCAGCATTTTGTTGAAACTTTGGCCAATTGGAGAAAAGGCTGGTCTTCAAAGACTTCTTCCAACTTTCTGCGTTTGAAAGCAGATTCTTTCTCATGCTCTGCTTTAAAGAGAAAAATGAGTAAAGGATTTCATTACAAGTCTAGACTTAAATGCTATCTCAAATGTATACATGTATACTTCAATTGTGATACAGTGATACCAATAAATTATGACCATAGATAAACAATTCTTTAGAGTGCCACTATGAACAAATTTTTACCTCTTGAATTTTTAGCTGTATGTTAATTATTGACTTTGAACGCATTTCACAATTCTGTGTATCGTGGGCATGTCTCCTCGTGTTCAGTAGTCTCTGTGCGACAGCTTCGAGCTAACTCATTAAGAGATTGTTTTTTTTCCCTCCCTCCCCCCTCTCTACGGGGGAACAATTACTTTTATTTGAGATAAATAAATGTTTTGTTTCAGCCCAAATATCTACTTTAGATCTGAAGATATTTAAATCTGATAACAACGGTATGAGCTGAACTTCTCTAATTTCCAAGTGTTTTATTATACATGTAAACATTTATAACTGTAATAGCATAATGTTTGAATTACGAAGTTTGGCATATATTTTTATTCTGTGCGTTTTGGAATCCATTCATCAGTAGCTGTTGTAATGGAATGGGTGTTGCTAAGTTATGGTGTGCAGTCTCTCAGGTTTCCTCTTAGTGAGTATTTAAGGAGTGGTTTGTTCTTAGTTTTTCCTCTCGCTGTGTTACCGGCACTGATTTAGTTTACTTTTTGTTTTCGCTAAAGGTTGTTTTCTTTTCTTTTTCAATGTTGGGAGTTTGGCCATTTAATGCGAAATTGTTTTAAGTCTGTGTCTGGTTCTTCATCTTCAGACTGTCCGCCTAGCCAGGGATGACTATCTGAGGACACTGTTCTTGACTTTGATGTGGACATAGTGGAAACTGATGAGCACCCGTTCATTGATTATTTGAGTAGTGGGGCCAAGTTAATCAAGGGCTCCTCTGGCGTGACAGGCCGCCTGAAACATTGCTTTAGTTATTGGGAGTCTACCATTAGTGCCCCTTGTTTTGTGCTTGATGTGATATCTGACGGTTATAAGTTACCGTTCATTAGAGTTCCTGCTCCGTGCTTTATAAGAACTAATAGTTCTGCCAAGCTCCATCCCAACTTCGTGGAGGAAACTATTTCCAAGCTGTTGGTTACCGATTGCATTGTGGAGCATATTGAGCTCCTAACTGCGTGAATCCATTGTCTGTAGCTGAGGGTAAAAAGTCAAGGCTGGTCATTAACCTCCGACACCTTAACCCTTGCCTTTTCAAGCTTCGTTTAAGTATGAAGATTTGCATAGTCTTTCCAAAGTTTTCGAGCAGAACTTTTGGTTTTTCACCTGGGATCTTGAGTCAGGGTACCATCACTTGGATATCTTTATTGGGCATCAGAGGTTCTTGGGGTTTTCCTGGCCCTTCAGTGGTAAGGTTCGTTTTTTCACGTTCAAGGTCCCTCCATTTGGCTTGAGACTATTACAATGCAGTTTCAAGTTCCTCCTAGGAAAATCGCCAAGCGTAAGAGCAATCTCAAAATTTCATTATTTCGTCGCGTTCCATTACTTTTAGAGATCTCGCTCGGGTGGCGGGTTTCATCAACTCGTTGTTTTTAGTCCTATTGCCAGGCTGTTTACGAGGCTGATTCATTCCACTATCCAAGCGCTGTCTGGCTGGGATTGCTCATTTCCGATTTCTGGTCCTCTGTTGGAGGAGTTGCGTTTTTGGTTTCTTAATATCGAGGCCTTTAATGGTTAGGGGATTCAGCTAAAGTTCTCCCCCATAGCAGTTATTTTCTGCAACTATGCTTTTGGCGGCTTCCAAGCTAGGTTCAACGATCAGCCTGTCAGTAGCATGTTAACTCTGTTTGAGAGCCAGCAAAGTTTAACTTTCAGGGAGCTCAAGGCCATTTACTATGTTATTCGAGTGCATGTTGTTTCGCTGAGGCATAAGAAAGTCAAAGTTTTCTCTGATAATGAGAATGCTTGAAGAATTGTATCACTTGGGAGCCTCAAGCAACATCTTCAGTCGTTAGCAATTGATGTTTTCTGGCTATGCTTAGAGAACGACATTCAGATCGATGCTCAGCGCATTCCTCATGACGGCAATCTCAAAGCCGATCATCTCAGATGTTATGTTGATCAGGACAAGTGGCCTTTGAATTCGGATTACAAATGGGTCCTCATTCCATTGACTGTTTTGCCCTCACTACAATGCTCAGGTTCCAATATTTAATTCTAAGTTCATGTCTCCGGGCTGTAATGTCGTCACTACTTTTTCCCTGAATTGGCGAGAATAATTGGCTTTGCCCTCCTGTTTCCTTGGCTGTGGATGTGATTAGACATGCGCGTGATTGTTGCGTGGTTGGTACTCTTATCGTTCTTGAATGGCCGTCTGCCTTCTTCCGGCCTCTGTTGAAGTCTCTTCCATCTAGATTTGCCTCTTTTGTTGTATTCCTTGCCATTAAGTCTGATCTGATTATTCTCGGGCCAGGCCAGAAGGTGTTTTACCGAAGCAAACTGTCTGTTTTCTGCGGTTGTCCGAAGTTCACCATGCTGGCTTTATGCATAGATTTCAGGTTAGGAACACTTGCTTTTTGTGTTATACTATGTTCTAGTATCTAGTCCCCATACAGCTTGCGTTTTTTGCTGTGGTTACCAGGCGGTGTGCTTTTGCAGCCACTTAGACCTATATGGTCGCATTTAGTAGGTGTGCCAGTGGTTAGGCTGTGGTGCTCGAGTGCAACCACTGTTTTAGCTGCCATTTTCGTGCAGGATTTATATGTTGCTGTTTGTTTCGCAGCATGGTGTTTGTTGTCAGATGTTAGCGGTACCTGCAGTTATAAACGTGTTTATGATGAGCCTGTGTGCAGTGTTGTGTTGCATTGCAGTTTCCAGGCCTTGTGTTCTTATTAGTTCGGGTACAGGGAATGGAGTATCGTTTTTCAGTGGCATTTCTTGACCACTACCACGCTTCGTGATGTGCATTCTACATAGTTCGTTTTTTTTGCCGTTAGTAGGAGCTAAGTGTCTTTCTGTTTCAGAGTTTGTTTTGATTTTCTTTTTCTCTGGTTAGATCTTTTGCAGGCCGGAGAGTTCGCGGCGAGTTTCAATGACCCATCGCCTCAGCCCTTGGTTCCAAGTTTCATTGACCTTTTGTTTGAATCCAGGGCTGCTAACACAGTCCAGAAGTACAGTTGCAGTTGGCAGAGAGGGAACGATTGGGCTCATTTTAAGCTTGGTGCTCCTGTGCTTCCTGCAATTCCACTGAAAGTTGCTCTTTATTTGACAGAGCTAGTCAACCGTGCAGTCTGCAAGGGCCATTCTGTTTACGTTATTGAGTCTGCTTCCTATAGTTTCTGCTGGGGTGGAGCCTCCAACATCCGCTGGTGAGGGGAATCGTGAAGGGCACATGGAGGAAGCTGGTGAGGCTCGTGCAGCCCAAGCAGCCATTGTCTCACAATGTGATTGCCGATATTACTTAAGTCTGAACACTAATTCCCCTTCCCCAGCGGACATCTGTAGTTTTGTTTATCCTTTTGGTTGGATTTCCTGGTGTTTTTCATATTAGTGAAATTTTTAAATCTTAGGGTTAAAGATATTACTATCTTAGACGATTTCATGAAAATTAATTTGATTAAACGTAAAAATGATCAGTACAGAGAAGGGCACATTTCAGTTTTAGCAAGATCTCTTAAACCTATGTGACCAGTAGGGATTACTGAGAGATTTTTTTTGTTGCTGCCTGATACCAAGAACTCCTGTTATCCCGCTGTTTGCAGGATAGTTAAATCTAAATCTTCAGAGAGCTTCCATAATGCACCCATTGATTTTAAGCCGCTGGGGTGGAGGCCGGGCATAGGCGGGGGTTTTGACGTAACAAGTCTGCCTGTGGTTGGGACTTTTGATCATTTGCTGAGTTCCGGGGGTCGGAACTTTTAACTTAAACCATTAGTAGACTAGGCCCTAAAGATGCCATCTTGGATGACCGAGAATGACTGGAAACAAACTGTACAGAATTGGAAGAAAACAATGTTCCAAATCGCTGGCTGATGAGATGCTCAGAAGTTTGGTGTTGAACTGAACATTGTTGTGCACAGATATCTTGTTAACAAGGCCTTTGTTACAGATCTTAGTTTTTCCTTAGTTAAAGGTTAACTCCATTACTAAACATCGCTTTGTATTTTGAAAGTTGTGTATGGAAACAAGTTTCTGAGTCCTACATAACGTAAGACTGTTTTTAATTTAAGCTCAAATGAACTGAAATTATGAAACATTTTACCAGATAGTGTTCTGTATTCACCTTCATACATTCAATTTGCAATGCATGTTGTTTCTAAGCATGGTTATAATTTTAGTGCTAAAACGAAATTGAATTATTGAACTTCATCTTTATGAGCCTACCATGTGCAGTGTATTATTATAAATTAGTGAATACATCTAAGATCTTGAGTCTTCTTATGGGGCTTTTTTCATATTGCAGTACTACAGATATAGGTTAGCATTTTATTTCTATCGTTTCTGTTTAAAATCTAAGTAATTAAAATGTCACAACGGTGTAGGACATTAGTCGTGATAAGAATTTCCGTGTTTTCCGTCTTGTTTAGTTGTATACGTTTAGGCAGTTGTCACAATTTTTTTAATAAATTAGGTGACATTTTTATATTACACAGACGTTGCATTTTGAAGTTGTTGCTTTGCAGCCTTTTATTTATAACTTTTTGATGTTTAATTTTTTTTTTTGGACAGACCTTTGCCTTTTTCTAGATAGAGGTGGAGAATTTGTATTTTTTTGAACAACACTACTATCCCTGGGATGGGGAATTTGCACTCTTTTGACCAAGGTTAATTTCCCTGGGGTCGGGCATTTGAACTGAAAAGATGATCAGAGTTCAAATCCCCCGCCTCTGCTCGGCCTCAACCCTTCCCAGCGGCTTAACATTGATAGGTGCGTAAGTCTTTAGGAGTTAGTTACTCCACTGCTTTAAGTAGCTTTAGATTTTATTTCTCCCTTTGTTTCGCATGGTTGTATGTATGGCACCCATAGCATTAGAATTGGTGGGGCCAACAATCCGGGGTTCGGGTCTCTTGACTCCGCTAATTGACCGACATGTCGGTTGGAAGAATCCTAAGTCTAAGTTTCGGTTCCTTACCATGCTGTTCCTAAGAATCTTGTCGAGATTATGCACGATAAGACTATCTAGCTATTTTTCGGTTTAGGGCTCCTAGGCCTATTGCCTTTTCGTTTCATTTTCTTGCCGAGCCCAGCAGGTCAGGAAGTCCTGTCCATAGGGCCGGGATTTTACTCCGTAGTTCCTGCTGTGAACGTGTTGGGGTTTTTTCCTCCTATGGATGCTTGTTGGTGCTTCCCAATTTTTTTCTCGCCTAGCTTTTGCTCAATTAGTTTTACTTATGATCAAGTATATTGCATGAGCTGGGGTATCCAGCCCCCAAGGAGTGTTAGGGTTTTCGCTTCGTTTGTTCTGATTTTAGCTTTGTTTGTTTTGATTATATCTGTGCTTACACTTGTATCTCATGTTTATTTGTTTTATAATAAACAGTGCTGGTTTCCCCCGTAACTCTACTTACAGTCAGGTTAAGGGCATAGCATGGGTCTGCTAACCAAGAGTTACATGTACCTGGGACTCTTACCCATTCTTGAATAGAATTTGACACCAAATCTGATACTGAAAATTACTTTTACACCATGAATGAATGGGGTAAGAAATACTTACTCCCACCGAAAAACTACAGTAAAATAACTGCTATTTTAATTTCAGGATGTACTAGGATTACCACTAACGTTTACTCGTAGAGGCTTCTGAAGCTGTTCTTTTTGTTGAAGTGTGTGTCTCTTCTTGCATGGAGGTCATGGGGTACAAAGTACTTCTAGCATCTGTAACGAGTGTTGAAGAGAAAAAACTAATTAATTAAATATTCAGACAGAAATAATTTCAAAATTAACACATATAACCCACTAGCAATGCCTCTTAGCAAAAAAATAAGATATACTGTACATGCAGCTTTCAGAAACCACACAGTGCATTCCAAATTCATATTGTTGACAGTATTAACAAGACATGTTTTGGATGAAACATCATCACTTGTCAGTTTACAAGAATACCAATAAAACATGATCAATAAATAGTCAAAGTGTGTGACGATAATATTACGGATGAAGGCGTGAAACAGAAAAAAATTGAAAATATGACACTAAAATAACACAAACTAATTAATATAAAAGGGATAAATTAAAATGCTTAACTTGGAAATTTAAAGGAGGCTGCTCCCAAAGGATGTGCATGGCTTCCTTGATTGGAAGCCAGTGGAAGCTGAGTCAAGAATTTTGAAACATTCTTCCAAAACATGTTTTGTTAATACTATTGATAAATTTCAAACACATCATGTGGTTTCTGAAAGCTATATAAATCATTAATTTTCAGTCTTCAATTTGTGTCAAAAATGTTGTCAGGTAATCAAAAGGAATTCAACTCTTCACAAATAGAAAATTTTGATGATTGAAATACAAAGTAAGATTTTAACAGTGCATTCTGAAGAAGTAAGAGGTATCTGTTTTGGTGTTTCATTTGATGTGTAACTTAACCAAATTTGTAGGGCTTGATTTTCAGAAAAAAACCTTGGGGCCACCTGGCCCCTAAGGTTTCAGATGTGGTCACCAGCACAAGCATTTTAGTCACCAAAAATGTTCGGCCCTTTGGCCCACTTATATATTTCCATGAAAAAAAAGGTGAAATGGTGAAATCATGCATTTGTCATGTATAACCAGTTTGTCACTTACTTTTTTTCTGACATGACAAGGAAAATGGCTGAATGAAATTCTTTTCTTCTTTTATTTATAAAAAAAGCTTACATGTGGTAAGTTTTGATTCATTATTTTTCGTAAACTGGAGCTAAAGAAAGTAAACACATTTAACATCCTGCACAGGCTTTTTGTGTTCATTGATGCATAGCGACTGCATGCGTTTTTCAGAGGTGGGTTTATTAAATCTCTTTGGGTACTATGGGAACATCAAATATAGTGCAGATTTCTTTAAAATTTTACATGTCAGACTAACCCGCTATGGATTTCTTTTATCAACAAAGTATTTTTTCGATTAATAAATCTTTTGTGTGAGCTGAAAAATCAGAGTGTTTAAATCACCCTTGACAGCCAGAGATGCGTAAAAATACTTACAAATTTTAAATGCTGTCTAATTTTGATTTAAGATACATCGGAAGAAGTTAATAATAGTACATGTCCTATCCATATTTCGACAATTACCGATAACAAGTCCTGCTAATGTACATGTAATTGATTGTGATCAAGTTGTTCCCATTAGTGAAATCTGATACATGTTTCAATAGGCGCGTTCCATTTGACCAAAATTTCCGGAAATTCCGGTTCAAAATCAAATGGAACAGAAAGTTTCTGGAAATTCGTTTCGAAAATTTCGGTCAACCTCCCAAGTTTGTCCTTTTTTCTGAAGTTTCCTGTTCCATTTGGCATTTATACCCTGTATGAATTGGCCCTAGTTACTCTAGTCAACAATTTTGCATCAACCAAGGCTACAAGATGGCGGCAAGTCAACACTACACTGGATGCAAAACAATGTGCCACAGTTCAAGCCTTCTTTTTTTTATTTTTTGTTGCACATTTTTATTTCCATTATTAAATACAAAGTACAGCGCTATTATTACGTGTCAATAACATAATTACAAAACGTTGATAATATAATTATTTGAACTATATAGTATAAGAAATCATAATTTACTATCAATAAATAATTTCCACCTGACCTGACATTTCCTTTGCGTGTTGTCTTTTAAGGCTATGTACTTTTCAGTCTTATATTTCATATTAATCATTTCTTTAAAAACAGTAATATTTGGGCTGAGACTTCGTTTACGACTCGTCCAGATNCAGCGGCTCATAATGACACAAGAACACACCGAAAACAACAACTACTCAATAGTTTCTCGCAGATCAAACTACACCTATTTTTCTCAACAAAAACTTCCACTCTGCATACTGAATTAGTGTTTTGGTTGTGACTATGACGTCAGTTCCGTTCTCGACCCAATCCTCCTTTCAAACTCGGACTTTTCTAATTCGAGTAATGGTGGTAGGTTTGAGCGCGAAATTACAGTCATATTTATCGGACTTCTCTTTGGAATTTTGACCTGAGATTTGGCACAATTACTATTTGGGTGATGTAGTTTTGATGTCTGGAGAGATTAGAAAAAGTCTATTTTCGTCGCAGTAGCACTTTAAATAGGTTTTTTTGCCTCAGCTTGATTCAAAATTTATTGTTATTGAACTTCCTTTTGCATTTCTTTCATTTGGTGCCCTGTTTTGAGGAATTTTAGGTTTTAAAAGTGAACAGCATTTTTGCACGCTGGATTTCTGCATGTTTAATTTATGGTGACCTCCACGGTTTGTTTGATTAGTTTATTCGCTTCGTCCAAATATATTTTTTGGAGTCTTATTCAGCTACTACAGAACTGCCAAGAAAAGATCTAAGAGGCCACTAATTTAGCACAGCTAAAATACAATTGATCTCAAAATAATTAGCTTGTTTTTGTTGTCTTTTTGACTTACAACTTTAATCTTTCTTTCATGGTGCTGTAACATTTCATCATGCAGCAAAGAAATTATTTCATTTCTTGTTTTCAAATTGGTTTTTACTCTTGTCTTTCGCTTGTATTTTTTGTTCTTTTCTCAAATGTTAGCCGTTATAATACAAGAATGGAAATTCTGTCATACTTGGTTTCGTTTTGTTCTCCAAGGTCAATAATAAACTCATTTTGCCTATTCAATTTTCTTAGCTTCTGTTGGGCACTTTGTCGCGTGGCAAAAAAGTATTATAATTAATTTCTTGTTTTCTTATCAATTTTACAGATCAGGTTGAGTTCTTTTTGTTGATATTTTTTAATATTTTGGCCCTTCATTTATTCATTTTTAAACCTGATCTTGTGTGTTTGGTTACTGCACATATGGTTTAATTTTAGCATTCGGACTGGTTTTGAAATGTTCAAAAATCACCCGGAAATTTAGGGGCGGGACGCGTGCAATTCATTCAGGCGTCAATGGGTTAAAAAGCTTAAGCTGTGGGTATGACTTTGAAGCGCTTTTCTTCTGGACCATCTTTGTCATATGTAATACATGAAACATGTCCATTTCAAATATCATGAGTTTGCTAAAAAAAGCCTTTAATTTTTGTTACCTTATCTCTGTCACTTTCCTGTTCACTTCATCAACATTCCTGATTGTCACATGTAAGTTCCGCTGGAATCCAATTTTGGTGAACTCTTCTTCCAATCTACTCCTTACTTTATCAGCTTCAAAGTCCTTCACAAACTCCAGGAAGCTCTTCTCTGAATGACAATGCAAGTCCACAAGAACTGAACCCTGTTCAATATTCCTGACTTGTGGGTCAACAACACCAGCTTCATTCGTTGCTTCCAAAGCATTTCTTATTGCTCTTTCTGAAGATTGCTTGTTAGCCAAATAATAAGCTCCTAAGCATAGGGTACCAACACTAATGATTCCAGCCAAAACTGGGCTGTCAATTTTCAATGAGATTGAAAAGTTTGGAGTACTTAACGCAAAATCAAAAGCAGCTGCTGCTGCTTTGACACTTTCATCTGCCATCTGTTTTTCCCTCCGCAAAACTATTCACTATTAGCTTGCACACTATTGCTTTGTCTTGTTATTCTTGTTTCCCCTACATGTACATGTCTTTAAAACCTGAAAGATAAATAATAAATAAATATCATTTGAATTTGCATAAGAAAGAACTATATGCATGTGTTTTATCAACACGAAGAAGGATAGGTTTTGAAAAACATTTAGCTATAAAAAACTGCAATAAAATATTTTTTAGAAACATTATAAAAAGCTAAAAAAGCCCAAAAGCTAGACAACATTTCAACATTTTCACAAGATCATAATCAAGTCAAAAAGTTAAAAAATCACAAATCTTAAAATACTAATTTAAGAACAATAGCTGCTAATTAAGAAGAAGTAACAAAAAAAAATGCTACTAGTTAAACAAAAAGTTTCCCATGTACTGAGTCCATCTGGGTATTCAAAGGAGGCTTGAGTTTCTTGATATAAAGCATTTCGAATAATAAGCAATCAAATTTTCTCTGACACTTTCTCAAAATATTAAGATGGCTCTCATTCAGCAGGTGTTTACTGCCGTGAGCTTCAAGAAAATGTTTCCCAATTGCCAAGTTTTGTGTTCAGCAATGCATTGAAAAAGGTGTCAGCTGTATAGCCCACATTATCTGCATTGCACAGATCACATGAAAAATCGTACACAACACATTGCCTTTTAGACAGCTTAACTTCTCTAGGCTTAAGGTCTTGTTCTAATTTCCTGTTCACAAAAACAGGTTGTAATGTGGGGCCAATCTTATGGCTAAGGTTGTGAAATTGCCTGCGAACTGCATCGGCAGCTACTTCATCCTTAAAAGGAAGACTAATTCTGATCTTACAACTGCCTCAGTTTTTCTTCTACCACCTGTTCTGATACATTACGAAGAAAATTACTAATGATGGAATCTATGAGAACCCTGGGATAGTCTAAGCGACTGAAAATTGAGCACAATTTCTTGCATTCTAAATTGAAAGCTTCTGCTGTTGAAGATAAAACAAAAGCACGATGTAACATTGTCTTTAATAAAGAGTTTTTGTAGCACTTACCAGTGTGGCTGTGGAAATGTAAGAGTAAGTCAGTGTTTATTTGTTGGTTTCCTGTAAACTTGAGTTTCACTTGAGTTTCGTGTTGCTGAACTCAAAATTACTACTTCTTAATTAGCAACTATTGTTCTTATTAGTATTTTCAGATTTGTAATCTCTTAACTCTTTCACTTGATAAATGATGTTGTTAA